CCCCGCCGGGCCGGCGCCCACGTAAGAGCGCTTCAATCAGCCAACGGCTCGGTGAACTCGGCGGGGATGCTGCAGTCTCTTTATCCCCCCCCCACTCTATCGAGGCCCCCTCGAAATTCATCTCCTCCCGTAATTACGCCTGCCTAAACGCGCCCGGATGATTGGGATGGGTCCCCTGGACTGTGAAAAACGTGTGCAAAGCCTCTCTGCAGGGCTAGCTGGGCATGAATAGGGCTTTTGTCGGTGGACAATGGCATCCTCCCGGCTGTCTCCTCGGATTAAGGGAAGGAGAGGGCAATCTCTAACAACCTGCTTTGTTCCGATAAGGCGGGCGGTTATCGGTGAGGCCCAGGTTAACAGAAATCAGTGCTTCACGGAGGCTTTTGTGATGTTAAATGTCTTGACTTTCTGGCTACCGCCTGTTCCCGGGAAGGGCTGCTGCTGATCCCGACTTGCCTTGGCCTAAAGGTGGGACGACAAAGGGGGGTTTTGGTTATTCAGATGCCTCCGGGGAAACCCGAGGGCTCGTTGTGCAACCGGGCGTGCTTAATTGAAAAAAAAAAAAAGAAAAAAGAAAAAAAAATCACTCTGCAGCACGTAGTTTTATGCCCCGCATCCCATTTATAAAGCAGAATTTAGGTAAATCTAGAAGAGTTGGAAGTTTGGTGGCCTAATGGGTCATGCTCATGCCAGCTCGTTTCCAAGCCGTCAGCGGATTAACGAAGGACTTTTCTGCTGAGCAGGAAGCTCTGCTGCGAGCCACGTGTTTGAAGCAGGGACGCTTCTTGCCTGCGAAACCCTTCCGAGAAACTTTACTTTCACTAGATAACGAGCTCGCAGAGACCGCGGTGCTGCCTGTGACTCTGCTGCATGAGCAGGCAGTGTTTTTCTTGAGTACCTGCTTCTTTATCTGCCCAAAGTCGTAAATTTTACAGAAACCTGAATTTCTTGCTGTTAGCTGGAGTGAACCAGTGCCAGCGTTAATTCGCTTTCCACATGCTGAGCTGATAATTTAATTTAATACAAACAAAACGTTTCCCAGGCTGGCCGGACCACGTGCTAGTCTTTTATCTCCCGAAGATGGGGCCACTGCAGCGTGCGGTGATGGATGGCACGTAGGGAATGGGGCTGCAGTACCTTGTCGCTGCCGCCCACAGCTGGGCGCGCAGCAAATCCCCATCCTGGAGCTGGGGATGCAGCAGAGGGATCTGTACTTCCACTTGGAGTTATATTTAAATGTAAAACAAAAAATCCTAAACCACTTTATTTCATAATGCAAAAAGATTTTTACAGTTTCCTTGAAGGCAGCTAGGTGGTTTCTGCTGGTGCAGGATCAGGCTGAAAGGCTCTTGTCCTCTGTCGGAGCAACACACTGCAAGGTTAAGTCGGTAGGTGTGCCTGTACTACAAATACCCTCGAGATAAGTCTTTCTCGTCGCCAAACATCTGATGCTCGTTACCTCTACTCGCTTAATTTTTTTGTTAAGCCTTCTGTATGCTTTTGCCCTCCAGGGAGGGCAGGCTCAGCTAAGGTAAGGCTAATCTATCTGCATGCAGGGAAAGTGCAGATGTCTCCTGGTGCCTGACCTTCCCAAAACCCATAACTCGTTTGCTGAAAAGCCAGAGAGGCATCTCCGTTGCGGAGCTGTGGGTCTCTCCTCCCAGCGGAGCTGCAGCTCGCTG